TGGGGAGGTCTTTGTCACTTGGGACTATGGCAGCTGATTCTGGCCAGACTACGTCCCAGGGAATCTGCAAAGGCAACTCTGATACGAGCTGATCAACCAGCTGTGAGGGACTTGTCAATCCCTGCTACCAAAATGCAGCTGTTATTGGGTTGCTTTGCGGAACCATGGCAGTAGATTGCCTGCAAGCCAATCTTTATGGGAACACCTGCCATCAGCTTTTCTCACAATTGCTGAGAACACCGACGGTGCACCAATTCTCTTGTGAGAAAACGGGGCTGGAAATTGACACAGGTGATCCCGGGCGTCCACTCAGACTGCAGCAGCTTACTCACTGGTCAATTGTCAATGTGTCTCCTATGGCCTCCTGCTTTGGTCGGCTACGGTGACCTCACCTGCATCCAGATCGATCGCTTCAACGAAGCTGGCAGCAAAAGCAAGAGCAAGCTCACTTTGCCATCCCGAGTTTGCCTACCTTTCTATATCATGGGCCACTTGGAGCTGGACTACGTACCGCGCAGGGTGGTGGCACTGCCGTGGCACCTTGGCAAAGATGCGCGCACAGGCCACTACTGCGCGGCCATCAAGGAGGGCAACCAATGGTGGCTATATGATGATCATCAACGGCCTTCACAAGTATATCATCATGCAGAATGTCTATGTCCTATGGTTGGCCTCCGATCCAGACCAACACTCTAGATGATGAGCAGCGAGAGACCTGGAAGACCCACTGTGGCGCAAACGATGATGAACATGAGGAACGATCCTCCAGCAGCCTCTGACTGGAAGGCTGAGTGGCCCATTGCGGTCTCCTGTGGAAGCGCGCAGATCTATGCCATAGACTTTCAACACATTGCATTGCGTGCAATGAGACTCCCAAGGACATCCTGCAGCACTTGAAGCCAACTTGAAGCGGCACATTGGCAAGATTCAGAACCAACCTCAGCAAGATGATGTAGGTCATCTCCATCATCATGGGCCATATTGCCCTGCCACCAGCAATGAATATGCTCAAGTGCCTGTTTCTGGTGGCCCACGCATGAATGTATGAGTATGTCATATGGGTGAAGTCTGGATTGCTTCTCCTCCCAACAAGTAGGTGGGATTGAATGCGGGTCCGCAAGGCGCTCACAGGATGCTCCATGGAGAGAATGCGTCTGCAAAAAAGCTCTGCGCGAGGCGTGTTTCATAAACGAATGATCGACCTGCGCCAATCATACGAAGTTGTGACATCATCTGCTTTTGAAACATGGTCAAAGTGGACCAGTTGAGCCCCCGTCCGTGCATCAATATAAACTGCAACCGGAAAAAAGCAGGTGTACCAGGGAGACTGTTTCTGCTCCAGTGTGAGTCGATTGCCCCGCTTGAGCATGGAAGCATTTGTGGAATCTCCGTGCACAAGCGGCAAGTCGATGCTGCATTGAAAATCTCAGGGTGTGTTTGTACCCAATCTTCACCCCCAGGTATCACGTTTGCAGGATGTCCTTCAAACTCCACCACACTCCGAGACGCATCTCATTCACGCTCATGGAGTTGGCCCCTCACTGAACATCTCCAGGACTCCAGAGACTTTGGATGGACGTGCAATTTGTAGACACTGCGGTGTATCCTTCATCAGTTGGCGGGGTATCCTTCATCAGTTGGCAGAATCTCAACAAAACATCACATCTCTCTCTTGTCCCAATCTTGAACTTTCCAAGGCACTGCCAGTGATCTTGACGCAGCACCGCCGCAGTCTCCTGAACATCTTCGATGCGGGGGACCTACAGATCCTGGAGGAGAACGCCTTGCGCACCTTCCTCACACACCGTTGCGCGCTATGTGGCTACTGGGCTGCACGGACTCAGCAGATGAGTGCACACATGTTCAGGGAGCATTCAGATGCCACTGGACTCGTTCATGAAGTCTTGCCCAACACCACCCATGCTCGTATGACCTCTCCGTGTGAATACTGTAAGACTGAGCTCAAGTCAAAAACTGACTTGGTCTTGCTCTTGGTGACCGATGACATCGAGCTCTTCATCCGGAGGCTCCTGAACCCAGTCCCTTGGCAGGAGAAAAGACCAGAGCACAGTTCAGGCGCAGTCTCTACGCCACAGCTGCGGGCCTACACCAGCATATGAGCCTGCAACATCAGCACACTACCGCCCAACATACTTTTCAACCAGCTCGCGATCAAGTTCCTGACCAACTCCAATGCGCACACCGTGACACGACCGAGCTGAAGCATCACATTGATGCCTTTGCCCATGATATGGCGGAAATCTCCATTCTCATCATGCTCTCAAAACAACCGGTCATTCTTGCTGGCCGCTGGCCTCCATCGGGGAACCTTTGATCACTTGATGGGATTCAAAAGCTTGGTGAGGGGTTGGGACTTCTTTGTGGTCTTTGAGGACATCTTTCACAAAGCTCCTCCTCTCTCCTGAAACATGGACGGAGGTCGCACGCTTTGCTGAGCGGTTGCAAACACAGATCCCCTTCTCTTGTTTAGGCACTCGACCTCCTGGGAACAACCATGTATGCACATCGTTCACTCACCTGGCCTTGTTTGCGCACCATGATCTTCACAAGTTTCGACATTCAGGAGATGAAGCTATTCTGACTCAGGCCTTGAAAGTGGACCTGCGCGTGCTCTGCCCCTCTCTTCAGCTGCAGTTTCCGGACTCGCGGAGATCTGGCCGCCGTCTTGACGGACACCTCCATCTGCGCTGCATTGAGCCAATGCTGCACACTGTGCGGACGCTCGGTTGGAGCCAATGACACGTATCTCCACCTCAGACATGAACACCCAAGGGACTACACACGTGGGGCCCTTTATCACAGATACATGATGGACATGCATCCGGCCTCACCCACCTGCTTTGTGCGCAAACTCCATGACACTGCAGCACATGAGTGTCCAGACTGGAACACCCAAAACCTTGTCCACGCCATGCAGAACTGGCAACAACAAAGCTGACCTGACTAGATCTAACCTGCGCCGGTTAAAATCATTCAAAACTCTAGAAGTGGTTGGAAGCAAGGCGGGGACGAAATCTACTATGTCCAGTTCTGCTGCAGATAGCAGATCGCAGCCCTTTTGCGTCGGATTCATCATGGCCATGGAAGTCGACGAGATGCAACAGGTTCAGGCAATGTGGGTGCCAAGTCAGACTCTCTCCTCGATAGGGGAACCAACGACGGCCCCTCAGCCGAACAAGCCCACAAAAGGAAAGGGCAAGGGCAAGCGCCGAAAGGACCACAGGCCAGCAGCGACTGAGGAACCTCATGCAGATGGTCCAGACCATGTCCCCAAAATGATGAAGGCGCACGAGAGACCCCCTCCCCTCCAGTTGATTCTTGGCCGCGTGAGGCCTGCCACTCTGCAGCGCACACCTCTGCCAATCATTTGGGCAAGCTTCTCAAATCTCTTTGACCCAGCCAACCGGTGCACCGATTGGTGGACTCAGCAATCCTGGCAACGCACGCTACATGAATGCTGTGGTGCAAGGCTTCCTTTGGGGGGCCATCAAGGTGGGACCCTTGATGTTCATGAGATTGCGAGCAACACCATGACCAGGCAGCAGCGGACCATGGCTTCGACTACTGCAAGGCTGGGATCAACCTTTTCAACAACTTGACATCGTTGATGTTCTTCACATTTAATGCCCTTGATCGACCCATGCTTTCACTGCAGCCTTTGGGAAGCCCGAGTTGAGACCTCAGAGGAAATCAAAACCATCGACTGTGGCTCTCACGGCTGTCGTCCGGTTCACTTGTAACATACTTGTGCAGTGGACCTGCAGGACCTGGTTACGGCATGGTCCATGGAATTGCACGGATTGCAGGCTATGTCTGGACCAGCTGACCTGGTGTGTGTTCAAGTGGACAGGTTCAACAAACATGGCACTAAGAGCTTTCAGCGGTTGCACTGGTCTTTACACGTCTTTACACACCATTTCAGGTGATTGCAGTTTCTTTCAATGTAGGAGCTGGCCCACAGTCAGGACACTATAGAACTGCCATTTGGCCATTGGAATGATCCACACTGGCTCCTGCTAGATGACGATGCCCCTCCAGAGTCCACAGCCGGACTTCCCGATCACGTACTCAGGAACATCTGTGTTCTGTGGCTTCTGGGGAACGAGCTTGGTGGAGCTGCACTTTGTGATTTCATTCCCTCGTCTTCAGAGGCTGGCTCCTTGGCATTGTTGACACAAGAACAAATGATGCACAATGTGCTTCATGCGGCGCATGGCCGCCCTTGGACAGTGTCTTGGCTGCCATCGCTCGGTCGTCTCGACGTTCGGCTGCTGGTTGCTTGGACCGACCTATGCCGCGAGCTGACGCGCAGCTGCCTCCTCTGCGACACCAAGCCGCAATGCCTGCTGACGCACCTGCAGCACCATCACCCGCTGCTTTGGAACGGCGCGGCACCTTCAGTGAGAGATTGATGAATGATTTTGAGCAGTGCGCACTGTACACGAGACAGTGCACCTGCACGCCTTTTGGTCCTGAGATTGAATGCGTGGATAAACACGTTTTCCCCTGCCTGATGCAATACGGGACGCTTCATGTTTTCCTTCGGGAGAGGCAGATCAGTCAGGCTAGCCTCAGCTGTGAAACCTTGGCTCTGCAACTCGTCCGCACTTTTGACTAGAGACCGTCCGTGGCTTTGGAGTACAGAGTGCGGACCTGTCCAGATAGATAGAAGTGGGTCAACGCGACTGTATGAAGCCACGGGGCGTCGAGAAAGAAAGAAAGAAAGAAAGAAAGAAGAAGATGATGATGATCCTCATAATCATGATGATGATCATGATCATGATGATGATCATCATCATCATTGTGGTGCTGATGATGATGATGGTGATGATGAAAATAATAGTTAGACAAACAGACAGTTGAAGTTGGTAGCCGTTCTTGAATGGAGAACTAACCCTTCGCAGGTGCTTTCGGGAAAAGTTAAGGCCAAGGCCTTACCGCCGCCAAAAGAAAAGCAAAACAGGAGTAACACACAACACCTCCCGGAGCTGCGTCTCCACCATAGTATTTGTCTCATAATCCTTAAGCTTCACAGCTACCAGCACCTCGAGAAGCGGGCACAACCAAAAGCAATTTGGAACAAACATTGACAACCCGACATATAAGGCGCGCGAAATCAGTATGCCTAGCACGCCGCTTGCTTTTACGCATGGGCATTTGGCATAGGCTTGCAAGTATAATTTACTATAATCGTGCGATCGGTTTTGCTGCGTGCGATATGATGAAAGAAGCCTGCGGAGAAAAGAACAAGCTTGGCCAGCTAACCCCTTGGCCATGTTCAATTCTACTCATTGTTGGCGGAAATTGATTCACAAGTCTTCCAACCCACTGCCGCGACACCACCTTCTAAACCCTATCGGTGGTTTACGATCCTCCAGGCGCCTGAATTCTCTACCCAGGTAGCGGCTTGGGAACGGCCACTTGTGCGTAGGAATGCGTTGCACATCATCACAGAATCTTCATGAATCAAAACCACACAAAAGCATTCGTCCAAAGTCCATTTGCCGGACGGCCGCGCCTCACGCGAGTGTGCGAGCAAGGCACAGTAGAACGGCCAGCGTTCAGCCAGGGATGAACTGTTTGGATCGTCAGGGCAGTGATGCCAGGATATTGGTGCCTTGAAGGCGCAACTTGACACGGTGTCTTTCAGAAACACACAGCTTCTCAAGCCCAAGCAACAAGAAAACGTTCAATCGACCTACAGGCTGGCAATAGAATTGTCAGTACCTGCTTTGCGTCTGCCGTAGGTGCAACCAGTTCCCCGATATTTGTAAGCTGCAGTGCCACCGGTAAATTGCCGCGCTTGGCCAGTTGCTGCGTAATGACAATCTTCTGCCAGGTGGTCAGAAGATGGTTGAGAAAAAACTTGAATCGACGTTGTTTCTTACAGAACTTCTGCACTGTTGGAGGATATCTGTGGTAAAGCGCCGCGTGACGGACATCTATATATGTCTATACAGTACATTATCAAAAACGCCCAAGCCATCCCGAGCCAAAAGCAAAAGCGAGGTCGCACTGCACCAAAAGAGCGTTTTACGCGCGCACTTGGTGATCTTGTGGGCAGGAAAAAACCTGTTCCAGGAAGGTGTGGCTCACAAGAGACTTGAACACGCTTGAACATGAACCTTACGAACCAACTGAGAAATGAGAGGTTCGTGTAGCGAAGCAGCCTTCGTTATGCGCTCAGAGGCTGAGACCGGCCTGCAGCCTGCGGCCTAGGGCATCGACCTCCCAAACGTACTGAGATGGGCTGTGCTTTTCTAATGTGTTAAGATAGTTAAGCTAAATACTAACTAATGATATCCTAACCATGTGCTAACCATCTCCTAAATTGTTATAACTGTTGTAAATATGTTATGTTTTTAAGATAGTTAGTAATTTATGTTAACTTTTAGCTAATTATCTTAACTATCTTAAAATTTTAGACACATTAGCTCAAAAGTTAACATAGTTAGAAGCAAATTATGTTCATTATTTTCCTTACTTTGAAACTTTGGTTTGTTGTTTCGCTTTGATAGAAACACCTTCTGGTGATAAGAATTTTGCCCATGGGCCTATGTTTATTTTTGAAAGCAAGACTATTTCAAATGAATTTCCTTTTGGCAAGCAAAAGCAACACTTGCATTTGCACATGTCTTTCCACCCCTTTTTGGTTTATGTTGCAGCCAAATGGGCTTTTGATTAGAATTGTTTTGTTTTTGTTTCTCAGCACACACCAGCTGGATTTGTTCCAGCTTCTGGTTTTGTTTGTGGCGGCAGCTTCAATTTTTGAAAGGTTTGGCTCCATATTTGGCGAGCATGTCAGTGTAGCTTTAGCACATGCAATGTCAGATGAAGAAGCAGCAGAAGCAAACAATGTGACTATTGGCTACAAACTGGAGCTTTCCTACAAAGGTCGAAAGAAAGTGGAAATCCCAAAGAACATGTTGGTGAAGGACTCTTGTTCGCATGTGTTTCTAAATGAGCCATGCATGAACTCTTTGAAACAAGCCACTAACTTGCCCTGAAGGATTTGGATGGAAATTCTTATTTGAAGCTTCAAGGAAGCTCACCAGCTCTGTGCAAATTGGTGTGTGGGAGAAATGGTGACAAAACCTTGACAAATGGAGGGGCAATGGCTGACCTTAAGAGGTTGAGGAATGAGCAGATTGAGGCTCAAGAAGAAAAGGGTGAAGAGAATAGCAAAAAGAGAAAGCGTGAACATGTCTTGCAGGTGCAACTTGGTGCTGTACAAGCACAAATTCTTGCTCCTGGCAAAAGAACCAGTAGCTCAGATGTGATGGCGCTTCTTCAACCTGATCAGCTACAAGCAGTCTTCGAGCATTTGGAGGCAGATTGCCAAGATGGAAGCCTTTCCAAGCGTGAGTACACCAAGAGTGGCAAATTTGCAAAGGCTGGTGGCGCTGGGAGCTCCTGAGACAAGAGCCTTGGTGGAGTCATGGAAAAAAGTGCTGTTCCTTGTTTGGGCTGGGAACATGTGCTCTTGTTTGTGCACATGTTGTTTGAGCTTTTTCAGCTTCTTGTTTAGCTGCAATGTGTGAATTTGTTTGCTCACAAGCCTTTTTGGGCTTTCTGTTTTGTTGTGTGTTTGACAGATGTTTTCTTGTGGATCCTCCTGCTGTGAGGTTCTTGAAGGAATTTGTTGAGAAATGTGCAGGTCACAAACATGAAAGCAGTTTTTTGAGAGAAGCAGCCTGAGGGTTCACACAAAAACACAAAAGGCGTAGCTTGAAGTGCAACATGTTAACCAAGCAAAGGCAAACACTTTACTGGTGATTTGCAAGAACTTGGCACCAGTCCAGCCATGTCGGTGCCACCATATGTGAAAGAGAAGGTCGAAGGTCTTCTCAGTACAGGATGCACTCTGGGTGTGAACACCAGGTTGAACATGATCTTGGAGATTCTGAAGGGCTATGGACTGGTGTATAGCACCACCATTGTACCAAAGGATGTCATGGTGCATCCATGCAATAGAGGATCATCAATGATCAACCATCATGATGCCCACCAGAAGGGCAGTGCAATTTTACAAGCTGGAGTGAAAAGTGATTTGTTGACTGCAAACAGCCTCTGTGTGGAACTGTCCACACTGCCTCATGTTCGCTCACAGCAAATTGAAGCCAACAAAAAAATGGTCGCTTCAGCTGACAATATGCTGTCTCCTTTGCATGGCACTGAGCGCTTTCTGAGCATTGCTTCAAGCCATTTCACACAGTGGCTCAGAGCTGTTGAGTATGGAGCTTCCAACCCTGAAGGCAGGAAACTGACTGTCACAGCTTCTTTGAAGCCTTTGTTGGAGGAAGGGTGGCAGTGGTTGGTAATCAAGGCTGAAGCAGAGCAGATCTTTCTAACTCTGGCATCATTTGGATCCATGTCGATGAATGCCCAGAACACCAATGCTCTGGCTGCAAGTGAGCTTGAATGCATGATGCAGTTGAGCAGCCTTTACAAGTCAGGGATGCAAATGTCTGCAGCAATCAGTGCTGTGGAGCAATCTGCACCTGCATGCATGGCTTACCTCCAGGATGTAGCATTGTTTGTCAGGCCCTACGCTGGAGGAGATGCTTTTCCACTTTTGAAGTGGCTGGATTCATTTTGTTTCTTTGCTAATGGTCAACGCTTTTCTTCTGAGTTTTTTGGCTCAGGATGCTTGTTGATGGTGTCCCACGCTTCATGGTTCAGCTTGCAATTCTCTGAGGCAAGGCAGAAGGTCGCAGCCTGCTGGCTGGAGAAGAATGCGTGAACCTTCTTGCGCATACTGACTTCAAGCTTGCAAGCACCTGCTGCATGTTCCTCAGGATTGCCATTCCGGCAACTGTACTCACCAGTCCCAAGTCCATGAATGGAATTTCCAAGCTCATCTACCCCAGTGACTTCCAGAAGCTCAAGAGTCACAAGAAGCTCTCAGACATTGAGACAATGCTTAGTGATGCTTGGAAGGCATGCGAAGGGCTTCTACCACAGGCTTCTGCATCCCAAGCCTTTGGGAACTTTTGCAGGCGCATGATTTTGCTAGCAGTCATGAAGCAAAAGAAGGATTCCTTTGAGTCCTTTGAAGAAGTGGTCCAGCAATTTCAAGATGATCTCAAAGGTGATTCAGCTTCCACTGCAGCTAGCACTGAGCAAAAAAAAGATGTTAAAGTACATGATCTGATCAATTGCTCCAATGCAGACATTGCAAAGTTGCAGAACTCCCAGAATGAGGTTGGCAAGATGTTCCTTGGAAGTCTTCAGCTTTGTCAACCTTTTTCAGCTATGGTTTTGTATGTTCTTTTCTTCACTGTTGGTGTGTTGTTGGTGTCTTGTGAGGTTCTTTCATAAAGAACATGGCTCAGACAAACTCTTTCGCTTGGAGAGCCTCAAGGATGATTGTGCTACTTTTGTCCATACTCCTCTGTTTGGTGATCCAGAGGAAGTACAGGAATTCTATGAGAGCTTGAAGAACTGGAAACATACAAGGAAGCAAGGGACTCCTATGTGCCCTGCAGCCTTGGCAGCCCTGAAGCTCCCTCACACTTCAACCATTGTGTTGGATGAGTTCTCCAGGCTGCAGGTCAACAGCTTCCTTTTAGATGCATATATGAATTCCAAAAAACCAAATGAAGAGATGCTGGGATTCACCATGTGCCCAGCAGGGGTGGTGACCTTGAAGAAATTCAAAAAGAAAGAGCTTCAGCTTTATCCTGTGGGCTTTTGCAACAAGCCCAAAGACTCAGCAAAGGAGAAGGAGCACTTTTGTGTGAAGTTCAATGAGGTAAATAAAGTATGACCTCCTTCCCTTCAAGACCTTTTCCAACTTCGACAAACCCAAAGATCCTGGAGTACTTTGCCCCTTTTGGCTTGTGGGAACCACTGAGGATGAGAATGAGGCCAACATGAGCTTGGCTTACATTGACTACAAGGGTGCAACCATCCCCATTCTGGAGAACAAGGATGTGATTGGTCCAAATACATGGCTGACAAGGCCTTCAGATGTGCTCAAAGCAGAGCTCCCTGCAAAGAAGCGGAGGAAGGCATAGGCTGGCAATTTTGAAAGAAACTGAATAGGTGTGCAGACTTCAAAAGGCTCATGAAAAAGTGCGCTGCAATTATTTTCACCAATATTTTTGAGAAGCTTCCTTTTAAGCTCCAGAGTTTGTTTAAGAAAGCATGCTATTGTTTTGCCTTTGAGGCACCAGATTCTTTTTGGTTGAATGTTTGCTGAGTGTTTTTCATTTCATTATCATGTGAAGCTTAAAGGCTCCAGATTTGCTTGTAAGCTCCATGCTATTTGTTTGAGAGCTTTTTGAGAAGCTCCAATATTTGCATTGGAACTAATGTTTGCAAAATAATGGAGTTTTTATGGTTCCACAGCTTCTTGTACTGTCATGAACAGTTATCACCTGTGGTTAAGGCTTTCCATACTAAAACCTCAGCAGTCTTCATTTGTGTTGACTATTGTTGTAACAATTGCTTCAGCCACACTTTATGGAGTTGAAATGAAAAGGTCTTTGTCGCCCCAGCCATGTGGAAGTCATGCTGCCCTGCGCACCAATGCAGATGACTCATGGGACCGCTGGGAAGACCCAGTGCCTAAGGACTGGATAGTGAACATGATTTGTTTGAATTGCATAAACA